CGCGGCTGGCAGCACGGGCACGGCCCCTGCTCAGAGACCAGCACCCGGCTCGCACACAGCCCCCACAGCCGGGCTCTCCCCACCTTCCCGGGCTCACACGCACGCCCCCGGCTCGGCTGGCTGCTGGGAGCTGCCAGACAGCAGCCGGCAGTGGCTGCTCTCAGCCATGCACACGCAGAGTGTGAGCACGCGTGTATGCACACCTGCGGTGCGCGGCTGCGGGCCCTGCTCAGTCACAGATGCTCCAGCCCCGGCTGCTCGGCTGCCCGGGGACTGCGGGGCTCGCTGCAGCGGGGGTACGCGGCCGCACGGCTCCGCTTTGCTGCGTCCTGACAGCCTCCTCAAGCAGGACAAAGGACCGGGGCAGCCTCTGGCCCGACAGGGCTCCCCACGGGGCCCCGGGGCATCCCCCATTCCACGTGTACCGGCCGCGACACCCGGCCAGAGCCAAGGGCCTCCCACGGGGCCAAGCCCTACGTTTCTGGCCCACCGTGAGCTCAGACCCCGCTGCCAGGACCTCCTGGCTGGGGCGGTGCTGTCCGATGGTGGCACACAGCCAGCCCCCCGCTGCCCCACAGCATCCCCTTCGGCTCGGCAGGGCGCTGTGGGGCACCTGCACCCAGGGCCCTGGGTACCCCACGCCACACAGCTGTCTCATTGCTCCCATCACTCCTGCACAACGGCAGAGTCACTTCTGAGGACCACAGGGTATCCCCTCGTTCCACCTGTCCCCTGAGATGCCAGCACCTGCCTGCACCCCACACTGGCCGCCTGGGGAGCTGCGGGATACACGGGCTGCTGCCCTGGGCCCCCACTCCTGGCTGGGCAGCCCTGACACAGAGCAGGGGAGAGCCAGCAGGAACCCCAGGCAGTGAGCACCCCTGGGGGACAGCGAGGTGCTGGACTCCGAGCACAGGCATGTCAGCTCCCTGAAGTGCAGGAATGGAGGGTCCAGGCTCAGGGATGGGTGCCCCCTTCCCAGGTGGCGCTGACTCTGCAGAGCCCAAACCAGCACCACTCTCCTCAGCCCCACGGCACCCTTGGTCCTATGGCACCCTCGCTACCCTTGCCCCAGCGCTCCTTGGGGTCAGAGGGGGTGCCAACCCTCTAAGCGGCCCCAGGCCCAGCCGGAGCAGTCACTGGGGCCGAAGGGATGACCCAAAAGCCCGTGGGACCTGACTCTCCCTGCACCCCAAGACTAGGGGCTGCCTGGGCGCCAACAGCTCCTCAGGTGCTGTGGCCACGTCTGGGAAACACGGCACGTGTGAACCCTGCAGGGGTCCAGGGCACATCACACACGTGGGACACGCCACGCACACGCGTGTCCGAGTCCCGAGCGAGCACTAACGCCTCCCGAGAGCAGCCCGTGACGCCCGTCCCGAACACCGTGCGTACAATTCCACACCCTCGGCCTGCTGTGCGCACCCCGGCACATGTAAACACACGCAGAGAGGTCACGGGGTGTTCACACCCTGGGCGGCAAACACGCCTGGGAACAACCCCAGGAACAGGCTGTGGGAACGGCCCCGGTGTGCCAGCCCTGCACACACACACACACACACACACACACACAGAGACACACACACACACACAGACACACACACAGTGCACAGAGACACACAGACAGACACACACACACAGTCACAGTGCACACACACACACACACACACACACACACACACAGACACAGACAGACACACAGCGCACACAGACACACAGACAGACACACACACACAGTCACAGTGCACACACACACAGTGCACACACACACACACACACACACAGAGTGCACACACACAGGCACATACATACAGGCACACACACACACCAGGTACACACACACACACAGGCACACAGGCACTCACACACACACCCACACACACCAGGTACACACACACAGGCACACACACACACACACAAACAGAGTGCACACACACAGGCACACACATACAGGCACACACACACCAGGTACACACACACAGTGCACACACACACTCACACACACACCAGGTACACACACACTCACACACACAGGCACACACATACAGGCACACACACACACCAGGTACACACACACACACAGTGCACACACACACACTCAGCAGCTCAGCCTCGCACAGGCACACCCAGGTGCACACACACGGCCACTCGCACACCCGCGCATCTTCCCGCATTCACACGCGCCCCCAGCCCCTCCGCAAAGCCCCGCGCACACGTCCCTCGGGAACCTCCGTGCACGCGCACTCGCCGCCCCCTGCACGGCCCTGTGCACGCGCGCGCGGCCCCGCGCACACTCCCTCCTCTCACACGTCCCGCGCCCGGTGCCCCCCGGTGCGGCCCGGTGCCCCCCGGTGCCCCCCGGTGCGGCCCGGTGCCCCCCCGCCGCTCACCCGCTCGGCGGCTCCGAGGCGCGGCGGGAGCCGCAGGCACCGGGGGCGGCTCCGGGGTGTTTCCCCCCCCCGGGGGTGCGGGGCGGTGCGGGGGCGGCTCCGGGGGGCTCCGCCCGCAGCACAACAAAGGACCGGCCCGCCCCGCTCCGCCCCGGCCCCGCCAGCGCGCCGGGGGCCCCGAGGGAGCGAGGGCTGGGGAGGCATCCCCGCTTCTGGGGGCCGGGAGCGGGAGGGGCCTGTCTGTGCCCCCCCACGGTTTCTGGGATGGAACCGGCACTAAAGGGGTCGTGCCGGTGTGCCCAGGACTGTGTGTTTCAGCCCCACCACACTGAGGGGCTTCCAGCATCGTGGAGCAACTGGGGAGGCTGGTTTGGGGGGCAGCACCCACTGGCTGCCCTTCCTGGGGGCCCTTGGTAGCAGGGGTGGCTGTGGGGACACCTAATGTCCGCGCACACGGTCCCACGTGTCATGATGAGATCCTTGTGGTGACATCCAGCTCAGGGAGTTTTGGGGTAATTCATGGGTCATCTCACGGCTCTGGGGGGTTCAGGGATCCCACGGCCGTGGGTGTCCCCACGGCGGCACACTCGGAGCTGGTGGCTGGCAGCTGCTGGGATCGCGGGTCCTGAAACACTGGCTGTGCTGGGCAGGCAGGAGGCCCCAGAGGGGTCCCAGGCAGGGTCACGCTGGCAGCCCCCGGAGGTCGGATGGTTGCCAAAGCGGGGACACAGCCCCCACTCCAGCCTGCAGGCCAGCGGCTCTGGGCAGTGCTGGGACTCTCGCATTTGCAGGCAGCACAAGGAAAGAGCCCCTGCCAGCCCCTCGGTGCCCTCTCCATGGGCAGACACAGGAGCACACAGGGCACACATGGAGCCCCCACACCATGTCCTTGTTCATGCTCTGGCTGTGTCCCAGACCTGTGGGACCTGTCACTCCCTGAGGTCCCGGCCCCACAGCCAGCCCTGCCAGCACTCTCGTGTCCCCAGGGCAGCCACGCTGGGGACACTGGAGCGGCACAGCAGGGAGGGTGGCTGGGCTGCGGCCAGGGATGGACGGGCGGTGCCTTTGTTTGGGGCCTTCCCTGGGCCTGAGCCACATGGCCGCTCTTGTCCTTTCCTCGCGGGGGGACTGCTGCCGTGCTGGCCCGACCGTCCTGCCAGCGCTGCGGTCACTGGGCGGCTCCAGCCGCGGGGCCAGGGCAAGGGCAGCCAGGGGGGCAGCTGGGGCGGCGGCCAGGGGGAAGCTGGAGCGGCCAGGCTGCCCCTGAGCGGTGCTGGCGTGTGGCCGCAGGGTTGCTGGCAGCACGGGCTGCCACGGGCTGGGCGGTGGGAGCAGGGACGCCCAGGACCCCAGACCACTGCTGACCCCAGACCACTGCTGACCCCAGACCACTGCTGACCCCCCCGCCACCGCGGTCCCGCAGCTCCTGCTCTGGTTAATGTTAAAGCCAGGCAGACGTCAATGACTGCCGCAGCTCTCCCAGCCCCTCCGCTGGGGGCTGCCAGCTCCAGGGCTGTTTTTCCTCCTGGAGCAGGCTCTGCCCGTCCCATGTGGCTAAAAAAAGCCATCGGCTTGGCTGGGACAGCAGGACAACAAATTCCCAGCCCAAGCAGCCTCCTGGCAACCCTGGCACGCTCTTCACTACACCTTCTCGGGGTGCCCCTGGTGTGCATCACCCCCATCGTTGTTGTCGTCATCCTCATTGTCGTCCTCCTCCTCCTCCTCCTCCTCCCCACGCGGGGGCCAGGCGAGGTGAAGGTCCCTGGTGGAACAGTGGCAGTTGCCCTTGTCCTGCTGGATCCAGCTGCCGAGTCACGCGCCAGCCATGAGCAGGGACGCCGGCTTCCATGTAGGGTCAGGCTATGGCTGCATATTCCCAACCCCACCGTGCCCCCCCCCAATTTCACACGGGGTTTTGCAGTCGGGTTTGGTCCCAGTTCTGTGAGGGTTCTTACAGCTGGGTTTGATCCTCAGGATGTCTGATGCCGGTTCCTCGATGGGTTTTGCAAAGGGGTCTGGTTCTGGGGGCTGGGGGCATTCCCAGTTCCACGAGGGATTTTAAACTTGTGCCTAATCTCCAGGCTTCAGTCCTGGTCCCATGCAGGGTTTTGCAGCTAGGTCTGGTCCCAGGGGGCTTTGTTCCCTCTTCCAGGAGGGAATTTACTACCAGATCAGGTCCTGGGAGAGTTTGGTCCCTGATCCCATTGTGGTGTTTGGCAACCAAGTCAGATCCCACAGCGCTTTGGTCCAGATCCCACGCCGGGTTCTACAGCTAGATTTGGTCCTGCGCCAAATCGGGCCTGGCCCCCATTCCACACGGCATTTTACAGCCGGGTTTGATCCCGGGTGGGTTTGGTCCCGGTTCCACGTGGGGTTTGGCCTCTTATCCGTAACCCCGATGCACCCAGGGATGCAACATCCCTTTGGTGGCGATGGGGACCGCTGCGGGCCGCGGCCACCCCGCGCTTTGTTGTTGGGGCGGGATGCAGCAACGAGCCGAGCCCCACGGCGGGACCCTCGCCGGGCCCTCCGGAGCCCTGCCGGGGCCCCACGAGGGGAGCCGGGGCTCTGTCCCGCCCCGGGGCGGAGAGAACGGCGCCGCCGTGTCCGCCCCGTCGCGTCCGCCCCCGCCATGGCCGCCCGTTACCTCCGCGCTGCCCCGGCGCTCCGCCGCCTGCCCCGCCGCCCGCCGCCCGCCGCCGAGCAGCGCCGCCACTGTGAGTGGGGAGACCTCGGCGCGATGGGGGGAGCCCTGCGTGCTCCCGGGGCTGTGCGGGCCACGGGCGGCTGTGCTCCAGCCCCACGGGGGGCGGCTCGGATTCTTTTGGGGGGCGGTGTCTGAAATCGTGTCCGGACTCACGCACACGGGCGGCCCGCGGGGCTTCGCGGACCCACGCCGGGTTTTGTAGCTAGGTCTGGTCCTGGGGGGTTTGGTCCCGGTTCCACGAGGCGTTCCACAGATGAGTTTGGTCCCAGGGGAGTTTGGTCCCGGTTCCACGTGGCGTTTTGCGCTCCAGCTCCTGGTCTGAGCCGGGTGGAGTGGGGGTCCGTTCAAGGTCCCGGAGCAGGGCGGGATTTTGCTCCCCAGGAGGGTTCACTCCTGGTCCTGGCGCCAGGCAGAGTTTTGTTCCTGCCAATGCTCACGTCCCACCCAGGGGGTCACCTCTGCTCTGGGTACCACGTGGGGTTTTACAGCCTGATCCACAGACAGGTTTGGCACCCAGAGGTATTTAGTCCTGGTCCAGGATCCACACAGGGATTTGCACGCTGGTTTGTGCCCGAGTCTGGCCCCAGGGGACTGCACCTGCTCCTGGTTCTGTTCCCATTAGTGAGCTCACTGAGGCGTTGCAGCCCGGCTTGCACGCAGATTCCGCTCTGAGAGGAATGTGTCCCCATCCCTGTCCCCCTCACATGGTGGGTTTTGCACTCTGACCCCCGCTCCGGCAGCGTTGGCCCCAGTAACTGGCCCAAACCACAGCGGGGCTTGCCCCTGACCTGCACCTTTCCCTGAGCCAGGGTGGCACCCACACGTGGCTGGACGGAGCTGTGTGGTCCCCACAGGATGCCCTGGCCCCACACAAGGGCGGGGAGCTGTGGGACCAGGGGCGCACCCCTAACACTCCCCTCACTGCTCTCCAGATGCCAACACGCGGATCAAGGTGGCAAACCCAGTGGTGGAGATGGACGGGGATGAGATGACACGAATCATCTGGGCCTTCATTAAGGAGAAGGTGATGGGGTCCTTCCCCAGGAGCGGGCGGGTGTGGCACAAATGGAGCTGGGGGGGTGTACGGGGAACGGAACGGGTGATCCCTGTGCTGCCCTCTGTCTGTCCCTCCCGCCTCTGTCCCTCTGTCTGCAGGAAGCAGGTAGTAAAATCGGCACAACTACCAGAAGGACCTTTCAGTGAGGTGGTCCCAGGCAGCAGAGCTGTCTCACGCAGGGAGGCCTGTTCAAGGCAGGGGGGATCATCCTGGCCAGAAGAACCATCTTGGCCAGGGGGACCATCGTGGGCAGGCAGCCAGGCTGGGCCAGGATGGGTGCCGGGGCTGGCCGTGCCGTGGTGCTGCTCCCCAGGCACCTCGCACTCTTCCCCATTCTGACACTCTCCTGGCCCCTCAGCTCATCCTGCCCAACGTGGATGTCCAGCTAAAATACTTCGACCTGGGGCTGCCACATCGGGACAAGACGGATGACCAGGTCACCATTGACTCGGCGCTGGCCACCCAGAAGTACAGCGTGGCTGTCAAGTGTGCCACCATCACGCCTGATGAAGCCAGGGTGGAAGGTGGGCAGGGACAAGGGGCCGAGCTCCTGTCCCAGCGAGGGGGTGCTGAGCCTCGTGTCTGTGCACGGCCCTTGGGGTCAGCACTGCCTTCCCACTGCCAGCTCAGGTTTCCAGTGGGTTGGGGGCTGCACCATACTCGGTGCTGTGCCCCTCTCCCCACCCTGAGGGCTGTGGAGGCCCCGTGGGCCTGGGGACACACTGACCTCTGCTCTGTGCCAGTCATGATCTCATGCTGGCTGTCCCTCCCCTTGTGGCAGGGTCTGGCAGCAGCCCGAGCCACAGTGGGGCTGGGTGCTGGCAGGAGCCATGTGCTTCAGAGGGGCTGGGGGGTCATTCAGGGATCTCATCTGCACACCCCGCAGAGTTCAAGCTGAAGAAGATGTGGAAGAGCCCCAACGGCACCATCCGAAACATCCTGGGGGGGACGGTGTTCCGGGAGCCCATCATCTGCAAGAACATTCCTCGTCTGGTGCCCGGCTGGACCAAGCCCATCACCATTGGCCGCCACGCCCACGGTGACCAGGTGAGCCAGCGCAGGGGCCGGTAGCGTGCCAGCAGCTCCCTCAGCCCCTGCCTGACGCTCCGCCTGGCCCCCACAGTACAAAGCCACCGACTTCGTGGTGAACAAGTCCGGGACGTTCAAGCTGGTCTTCACGCCAAAGGACGGCAGCGGGTCCAAGGAGTGGGAGGTGTTCAACTTCCCCGGCGGCGGCGTGGGCATGGGCATGTACAACACGGACGAGGTACCGGTGGGGCTCAGGGGGTCCCTGCAGGGCAGCGTGTCTTGCCACCCTGGGGGAGATGCCAGGCTGAGGGACAGGGCCCCACGAGGTTTGCGTGCTTCCCTTGCAGTCCATCTCTGGCTTTGCGCACAGCTGCTTCCAGTACGCTGCCCAGAAGAAGTGGCCTCTCTACCTGAGCACTAAGAACACCATCCTCAAGGCCTATGACGGGCGCTTCAAGGACATCTTCCAGGACATCTTTGATAAGTATGGACCTGGGGGGGGGTCTGGGCTGTTGAGGGGGCTGTCCTGGGGGCGCCGGCAGTGGGGCCCACGTGGGGTGAGCGTGGCTGACCCCCGGCCCGGGCTCCCAGGCACTACAAGACGGAGTTTGACAAGCTGAAGATCTGGTACGAGCACCGGCTCATCGACGACATGGTTGCCCAGATGCTGAAATCCTCCGGTGGCTTTGTGTGGGCCTGCAAGAACTATGATGGGGATGTCCAGTCAGATATCCTGGCCCAAGGTGGAGCAGGGTAGGGCGTGGTGGACTCTGCATCATCCCCCCTGGGAGCTGTCCTGACCCCTCTCTCACCGCAGGGTTCGGCTCCCTGGGGTTGATGACCTCTGTCCTGGTGTGCCCGGATGGGAAGACCATTGAGGCCGAGGCCGCCCATGGCACCGTCACCCGCCACTACCGGGAGCACCAGAAGGTGGGCGTGCTCTGCCAGGGAGCAGAGCCTGTCAGCTGCCTGTGCCAGGCTGCCCACGGGCGTGGTGTCCACACCGGACAGCTGACCACACTCTCTGTGCAGGGACGCCCCACCAGCACCAACCCCATCGCCAGCATCTTCGCCTGGACGCGTGGCCTGGAGCACCGGGGCAAGCTGGACAGTAACCCTGACCTCATCAAGTGAGCAGGGTGGGGTGGGGACCCCTGGGTGAGGGTCCCTGCCACATCTGCTCTGGTGGCAGGCGTGGCAGGGCCCGTGGCACCAGCCGTGCTGGAGCCAAGTGCTGCCGTCCCCAGGTTTGCGCAGACGCTGGAGAAGGTTTGTGTGGACACAGTGGAGAGCGGGACGATGACAAAGGACCTTGCCGGCTGCATCCATGGCCTTGCCAAGTATGGGTGGCTCTCGGGGCAGAGCAGGGGGGCAGCCACCTGCACTAGGGACACGTGGCTGCACGGGTGACCATGTGGGTGGGATGATCCTGTAGGGTGGCCACAAGAACAGCACAGTGACCACAAGGACGGGTTCACCACAAGGATGATGTGGCAGGGCAGCCACAAGGGTAAGAAAGTGACCAGGAGCTGGCTCTGCACAGTGGCCACAGGTAGCTACTGGCCGCTCTGGCCATTCCCCAGGGACTCGGGGTGGCTGTTCACAACTGTTTGGGTTGGGCAGGGGGCACATCCTGGACCCAGGGCTGTGGTGTCTGTGGGACGAGGCGGGCAGGGATCCCCACCAATCCCTGTCTCTCTCCCCAGTGTGAAGCTGAATGAGCACTTTGTGAACACTACCGACTTCCTCGATGCCATCAAGAACAACCTGGACAAGGCTCTGGGCAAGAAATAGGGGACAGCCTCACCATCTCTGGGATGGATGGGTCTGGGAGTGGCCCAGTGCCCTCTCCAGCTCCCCAGCACAGCTCAGGAACAGTTGAATAATTTTTCTAAAGTGTTCTTAGGAATGTTTTTAAAGCCTTTGTAGCAGGGGAGTGGGGTGGGGGGGCGTGTGGGAGTGTGTTTGTAGTGCCCTGATTCATGTACCCCATAACCGTGTGGTGCCATTAAATATCTCCCAGTCACGGCACAGCATCTGGCACAGCTTTACATTGTGGGCACGGGGGGCAGCCAGACCCCTCAGCTCAGCCCTGCCAGCCTGGGGGGGCCGTGCACTGCAGCATTTTGGCATTGGCCTGAAGGCAGCATATGGGGGTCCACAGCCCTGCCGTGCTAAGGGTCGGGGCTGGCCAAGGCTGTGGCCATCTCCATCCTGCCCCAAGGCTGGCTGACACGGGGTGGCAGGGGTAGCAGGCACACTGCCCTGTGGGGGGAACTGAGTGGTGCCACGCCCAGAACCAGCCCAGGGCTTTTGGGGATGGGGCAGATGGTGCTTAGGGAAGTGTAGGGTGTGTCTGGGGTCAGCACAGGTGTCCCAGACTGTGCCCTGGCTGGTCCCCGGGTCCTGACGCTTTCCAGGCCCCCAGCTCTGGCTCCATCTGGGGGGCAATGCTGTGGGTGCTGTGAGTCCTCTGCGGGGCACAGAGTGAAGAGTGGTCCCAGACTCAGCAGTGCCCCAGCTCCCTGCCAAATCCCTGGGCATGGAGACAGCAAACCCCCACCTCACAGGCTGCCCCAGTGAGAGCCTTCTCCTCCAGCCCCAGAGCAGCTGGGGGGCAAGGAGGGGGTGCCAGTTCCTTAACGGGGGGCTCTGCCCAACACCCCACTCTGGTCCTCAGCCCCTCGCAAACCTGTCTCCCCACACAGACCACACAGCTTACACGGGTTTACAAAGCACATTGGTTGAAGGGAACTGAACTCGGTGAAAAGATAAATCCAACCACGCGGCACATCTGAAAAAAATAAATTACTTTCAAAATACCATCATTTGCTGAGGCTGGGCTGGGTTTGCCTCCCCGGATCCTCCGCTGGCTGCAGCTCCAGACCCAGAGCTGTGGGCGCTGACTGCACCCTGAGCTATGAAAATACTCTGTTCTGCGTCCCAGGGCCTGGCACAGGGAGCCCTGGGGGGAGTGGGAAATGCAAACCCACCTCCTCATGCGGGCAGGGGCTTCTGCCCATCAGGGAGAACCCCTGTGCAGCGAGGGGGGACCCAGGAGGTAGAATAATTAGTGATGCTCATCATCTTGCTCGACAGCAGCCCCTTCCATCCCTTACTCATTCAGTGATCTGCTGGGTCATGCCTCCCCTGCCTGCAGCTTCAAGTCACCAGGGGCAGGGTGCAGGCAGGGGCAGGGGGGCAGCAACAGAGTCAAGGCAGGTCCAGCAAAGTCTTCTGGACATCCCTGTGTTCCCCAAGCCCAGTGGAAGCCATCCTTCCAGCTCTGGGGGGCCTGGCTGGGTGCTGCAGCCCCTCTTAACCCCACCAAGCCCCCACAGCCCCACCAGCCTTGGCTACAACATGTTGTAGTAGGCCATCTCCTTCATGGCCTGCTCGGCCAGCGTGTGCTCGTCTGGGGGGTTGCCCACAGCCCCGTAGCCGTAAGAGTTCTCCTCCTCGAAGTCATCCATCTCCTGCTGGCCATCCAGCTCGGTGTGATCAGCCCCAGCCAGCTCCATCATGGCATCTAGGAGTCAGCACAGGGACACACGGTGATGGACCTGTGAGGAGGCCTGGGACCAGCAGCTCCCCCCTCCCTGGGTTTGGAGCCCAAAACTCCCCGGGAGCCACAGCCCTGCTGGATCTGGGTCACTGGCAGGGGTGACCCTTGGGTGAGAAGACACGAACCTGCCGCGGCCAGCACGGCACAGCCCAGCTCCCAGGGCTGTGGGGCAGTCACGACGCCCAGCACGCGCCGGGGACCCACCTTGGCTGTCCAGGCTGATGTCCATCACCCCGTGCTTGACCTTCATGTGCCGGCTGAGGTTGCCCTTCAGGTTGAACTTGCTGGAGCAGTAGGGACACTTGAAGGGCTTGCTGCCGGCGTGCAGGTGCATGTGCCCCAGCAGGTTGTACATGCGGTTGAAGGACTTGCCGCAGACCTGCCGGCAGCGTGCCCACGGTCAGCCCCCAGAGCTGGCAAAGGCTCTGCAGTGCAGACCTGGCCCCCAGGGTCCCCTGGGGCTCCCACCAAGAGTAACGGGGCTCCCTCCCTCCATCCCTCCTCCCGCTCTGCGTGGGGGGCTTGGGGACGCGGTGCTGATGCTGCTGGGAGCTCCAGAGCATCCAGCACTGGTCAGACAGAGGCACTGGTTGTGATTTCAGCAGCAGCAATGCTCCCATCACAGCCTGCAGCAGATAAATCCACGCCCAAGTGAGCAGGGGAGGCATCACAAAGCTGCTCCCGTGCCCAAGGGCTCACCCTGGCCAGATTCCTGGGGGCATAGCACAGCTGGAGCTGTTCTCCTGCATCCCCAGCTCCATCAGCCCCCCCATCCCGCTGGTACCTTGCACTTGAACGGCTTCACCGGTGAGTGCACGATCATGTGGGTCTTGAGCGTCTGCTTCTGCACGAAGGTCTTGAAGCAGATGTGGCACTGGTAGGGCCGGACGCTGGTGTGGATCAGCATGTGCCGCTTCATGTTGGCCTGGAGGGTGAACTCCCGCCCGCACACCTCGCACTTGAACTCCTTCACGCCCTGCCAGGGGTGGGAGAGCTGTGGGCCGGGGGGAGCTTGGCCAGACCCCCAGGCACTGGGGACACACGAGTGGAGAAGGAACCCCATGGGCAAGGGATGTGTTCCTTGAGCTGGGCACAGCACAGGGTGTATCTGAGAGCCCAGCAACATGCAGGTGGGGGCTGGACAGGCTCTGTAAGTGCAGCTGAGTGCCAGCTCTGCTCTGGGGCTCAGCCCAATTGCACCCCATTAACAAGCCCCTGGAAAAGGGTGAACACCCACACACAGCCTGCCCAGAGGGGCCGTGACAGCTCCCGGACAGGACCCCCCAGGTTACCCTGCAGCAGGTCTAAAACTCCCTCCCTGAGGAAGGGAACCCCCAGAAAGGCAGGGGCTGGGTCCCAGGGACCCCCTCACTGCATGTCAGTGACCCCAGCTAATGCCAGCCACAGGTGCTACTGCCCACCTGCACCACCCACCCCCTCACAAGGCTGGGACACTCCTCTCTGCCAGCACCCACATCCTGAGCTGGCACATCTCCTCCGGGCACGATGAGGATTCATGCACCCCAGAGGACTCTGAGCCCCTACCTTGTGCGTGAGCGAGTGCTGCTTGAGGTGGTGGATCTGGCTGAACTCCATCCCGCACTCGGTGCAGACAAAGGGCCGGACGTTCTGGTGCTTCAGCATGTGGTTCTGCAGCTGGCTGCGGTAGTGGAAGGACTTGCTGCACTCCAGGCACTGGTAGAGCGTGGGGCCCTGGTGCGTGGCCAGGTGCCGCTTCAGCTGGGTGAGCGTGGAGAAGTCCAGCCCGCACTCCACGCACACGTGGCAGCGCCCGCTCTCGTGCTTCACCTCGTGCGCCTTCAGCTCGCTGGGGTAGGCGAAGCCGCGGCCGCAGAAGCGGCAGCTGTAGGGCTTGATGTCGGTGTGCAGCAGCATGTGCCGCTTCAGGTGGCTGGTCTGAGTGAAGGCTTTGCCGCACACCCCGCACTTGTGGGGCCGTGTGCCCTGGTGGGTCAGCAGGTGGGTCTGCAGGTGGCTGGGCTGCTTGAACAGCTTGTTGCAGTGTGGGCAGGAGTGGGGCTTGATGCCGTTGTGGCCCAGGATGTGGGTCACCAGGTTGTACTTGGAGGTGTAGGACTTCTCGCACATGCGGCACTGCCAGCGCTTCTGGCGGTCCCCCGCCTCCACCAGGTAGGAGTCGTCGATCTGCACGTTGATGTCCAGCCGGTCCAGCTGCGCCTTCCTGCTGTGCTCGCTGGTGCCTCCGGCCGCCTCCAGCTCCCCCGGCTCCTGCCAGCCACAGCCCTGCTCGCTCTTCACCTGCTCGGGGGATGCCGGTGCAGGGGCCTCTGCCTCACCCGGGGACGGGGCACCCGCCTCGAAGGTGCCCACGGTTTGCGGGGCCCCCGCGGTGCCGCTGGCCAGGTCACTGCCCCTGCGCCGGCGCTCGGTGCCCTCCAGCTCCCGATGCCGGCGCAGGTGCCGCAGGCGTCGGGGTTTCCTGC